TAAATAAATAAAATCAATGGGAGGCCTCTTGGGGCAGCATCTCCCCCCCCCAATCCTTAGCCTGTCTGAGGCTCTGCAGCTGAGCTGTGCCTTTTGTCTGTGCCAGCCCTTTCCCCACTGCCACGTGTCCTGGCCACGTCGCATGCAAAACTATGGTGTGTGCTGGGCACGTGGCTTGTATGGTTGGAGCAGAAGTGGGGGGGACACAAGTGGAAGGTCACGGGAAGAGGGTGGGCAGGAGAGTTGTTGGGTTGGCCTGCTCTGCGACTTCCTCAACACTGGTACAACGGGTACTCGGTTGGGGGTGGTGTTACAGGGAAATGTCACCATGAGGAGAGAAGTTCCTAGATATCCAGTTTGGTGCAGTGGTTGTGTCAGCTCATTGCCATAGAGGCTGGTGTAGAGGGGGAGGCTACTTGGAATGCATTAGTTTCAATTCTCCCTTGCTGTCTTGTTGATGCTACCTTTTCTGTATGTTTTATGTGCCTGGCCTTGGTTCCTAGTTGTAACATCATCTCTGGGAACGTGGGGCCGTTGCATTCTGGTGGCCCCTGTTCTTACCTTGATTGGCTCCCTACCACCCAGTGACCCTTTTGAACCATGTATATCTGTCCACCCTGCACTTTTTGCTTTAGTCTTCCAGAGCTCTTTTTGTAGAAAAAGCCCAGCAGGAACTCATTAGCATAATAGGCCACGCCCAACAGCAGAAACTCATTAGCATATTAGGCCACACCCCTGACAGCACAGCTCATTGGCGCATTAGGCCACACCCCCATGTTACTAGAAGTGTGGTCATCCAGCCACACCCTCTTTTTGCTTCTTATTCTGTTTACCTTGTTTGTTGTCAAAATCCAGGGCTTTTTTTTGGTAGCAGGAACTTCTTTGCATGTTAGGCCACATACCCCGAATGTAGCCAATCCTATTGAGTTCCTGCTGTTGGGTGTGGCCTATTATGCTAATGAGTTCCTGCTGGGCGTGGCCAACTCGGGAGCCAGCCGGAACGCCGTTCCTGTGCGTTCCTGCCCAAAAATAGCCCTGGTCTTAACACAGAAGCTGAAGTATAGATGCTCTGCCAATACTGTACCAATAAACTTCTCTTCTGAAGAAGCAAGTCATTGGTTCTGATTGTTGTAGGAGTCTGACAGGTTGAGAGCAGCGGACTCTAATCTGGGAGAACCGGGTTTGATTCCCCACTCCTCCTCCTCCACATGCAGCCAGCTGGGTGACCTTGGGTCAGTCACAGGTTCTCTCAGAGCTGTTCTCTCAAGGGCAGTCCTCGAGAGAGCTCTCTCAGCCCCACCTACCTCACAGGGTGTCTGTTGTGGGGAGGGGAAGGGGAAGGAGATTGTAAGCTGCTCTGAGGCTCCAGGTAGTGAGGGGTGGGGTATAAATCCAATCTTTTCTTGTCTTCTTCTACTTTGGGGGAAGGGGATGTTTTCTGTTGCTGTAAATGAGTCCATCTCTATCCTGACCCGACCCCCCCGAGGTTGGGATGAAAGAGACACAACTGTGCATGAGATTTATGCAGAGTGGCATCAATTTCTTGGATCACACAATGATGATGAAGAAGAAGATTCTTTGCATCATGGGCGAGAATGGGACGTTCAGAGGACTGCCATCCTGTTTTTAGATAATCTTGTTTTTAGATAGGCTATAAATTGTGATGTACTTTTAATATTTTGTACTGTTTTTATTGTTTTATTAGCTATATGCCTGTTAGCCGCCCTGAGCCTCCGGGGAGGGCGGGATAAAAATGTAAATAATAAATAAATAAATAAATAAAGAAGAGATTGGATTTATACCCCGCCCTTCACTCGGAGTCTCAGAGCGGCTTACAAATCTCCTTTCCCTTCCCCTCCCCACAACAGACAACCTGTGAGGTAGGTGGGGCTGAGAGAGAACTCCTGAGAACTGCTCTGGAGAGCTCTGAGAGAACCTCTGGGAGAACACCAGCAGCTGCATGTGGAGGAGTGGGGAATCAAACCCGGTTCTCCTCGATTAGAGTCCATGCACTTAACCACTGCACCAAATTGCGGTTCTTCTGGAGATTTTCTCAGCCTTCCTTCCATGTGTAAACTCCCCCTAAAAGAGAGGGGTCTCCCAGATTAGAGTCCGCGCACTTAAACACTGCACCAAACTGGCTCTCCTACAAAAAACTGAAGACACCAGAGAACTGTATTTACACACTACAAAACATCTCTTAAGGCAACAATCGTATAATAAATACATATCTTTACAGGCCGATTTTAAATCAGTGTCCTCAAGGGGACTTCAGATTTTATCTTAGAGAGCCAGTTTGATGTAGTGGTTAAGTGTGCAGACTCTAATCTGAGAGAACCGGGTTTGATTCCCCACTCCTCCACTTGCACCTCCTGGATGACCTTGGGCAAGCCATAGTTCTGTCAGAGCTGTTCTTGAAAAAGAGCCATTTCTGTCAGAGCTCTCTCAGCCCCACCTACCTCCCAGGGTGTCTGTGGTGGGGAGGGGAAGGGAAAGGAGTTTGTAAGCCGCTCTGAGACACCTTTGGGTAGTGAAGGGTGGGATATAAATCCAATCTCCTCTTCTTCTTCATCATCTTAGATCCAAGCCAAATAATGTTTCAGGTTCAAGTTTCAAAAGTACATCATTGATTTGTATAAAGGATTTGCTGGAATTGTGTCAGATTCAACCATATAGCTAATGAGTGAGTACCAGGACACTATAAATTCTACTTCAAATTTGCTGGAGGAGAGATGGAGTGTGCTAAGTGATATTTTGGACAGGACGATTGGATCGTGGGGGGAAGTTTGTCTAGCTCCAAGATCTCTTGCGGCCGCCGCACCAGGCCCAGCCTCCTCACGGGGCGCCGTAGAGCCCCCAGCCCTTTCTTTTACTCGCCGTCTCTCTTCTCTCCTACAGTTCATCCTGAAACACGACAAGTACCGGCACTTGCGGGAGGTGGAGCGCTTTCCCAACAGCTTCAACCCCCACGTCCCCGAGACACTGGCCCTCCTGAAGGCCGTGCTCACCCAGGTTCTGGGCAAACACCGGCGCTCCAGCTGGGTGCACATCGGGGCTGACGAGGTAAGGGGGAACCCTCTTCTCCCTCCTGCCCTCTCGCCAACCTTCCTCCGCGCCCTTCCATGTCACGGAGCTTCCTGCAGGACTGTTGTGTTTTGCTAGTCTTGAAGGTGCTCCTGGGCTCTGGCTCTTTCCCACGGCTGCAGACAGACTAACACCAGTGTTCCCTCTAAGCTGAGATAGTGTGAGCGAGCTCACAGTTTTTTAGCCTCCGGCTCACACATTTTTTTGTCCTAGCTCAGGAAGGACGGCTCCAGAGCAGACTAATTTATGCAGCAGCCAAATCGCTCACTCCCACGACAAGAGAAAATTGCATTGTTTGATGCCAACTTTGATGCCCATTGCTTTGATGCCCAGTGTTCCCTCTAAGCTGAGATAGTGTGAGCGAGCTCACAGTTTTTTAGCCTCCGGCTCACACATTTTTTTGTCCTAGCTCAGGAAGGACGGCTCCAGAGCAGACTGATTTAGGCAGCAGCCAAATCGCTCGCTCCCAACTTTGATGCCCGTTGCTCACAAAGTAACTGTAAGATTTTATTGTACGTGGCCATTGGCCGTTACAATACGAAATTGCATTCAAAAAGTACTTAACGATTTAAAACATTACATTCAGGATCAAACTCAATTGTACGACTAAAATGTCAAAATGACAACAATTTGGGATTGTAAAAACGTGATATCAGTATTTTGTAACACGTTATGAAACATTTCTAAGGGCCGCCTCGGATCTAACTTTCCTAGCAGCACGTGCAAAAAGCGCTACCTTAATGTGAGACCCCAAAGGATTTGTATCCGACAAGAGAAAGATCAACTTTTCGCTGTCAGGTAGATTGTGCACTTAGCTTAAGATTCCGAATAGCTCACAGTTTTTTAGCCTCTGGCTCACACATTTCTGTCTTGGCTCAGGAAGGATGGCTCCAGAGCAAACTAGTTTATGCGGCAGCCAAATCGCTCGCTCACACCTTTAATGCCAGTAGCTCACAAAGTAGAATTTTTGCTCACAAGACTCCACAGCTTAGAGGGAGCATTGACTAACAGGGCCGCCCAGCTTGACACAATTATTGTACGCCACCGTTGGCCCACAGGGAGAGGGTACTGCAAAAATGTTTCAATCAATAATAAATAAAATGAGTTTGTGGCTGGCGACGGAAGCTTTGGCGAACCAGAGCCTCCAGTTCACTGCCCCCGTGGGGGACGAGGGGTCTTTGCCCCAGTCGGCCTTTGGCGATGCCGCCAGATGCCTCTTGATGTCTGGATCACACACACATTTATCCCGAGAGATCGCAACTCCTTGAGGTGAAAACAAAATTTGGGGGAAAGGCGACTTGACTGAGAGAAAACGCGAGCTAGGAGCATTGTTCCCTCTAAGCTGAGTTAGTGTGAGCTAGCTCACAGTTTCTTAGCCTCTGGCCCACACACTTTTGTCTTAGCTCAGGACGGATGGCTCCAGAGCAGTGTTCCCTCTAAGCTGAGTTAGTGTGAGCTAGCTCACAGTTTTTTAACCTCCGGCTTACACACTTTTGTCTTAGCTCAGGAAGGATGGCTCCAGAGCAAACTGATTTTATGCAGTAGCCAAATCACTCGCTCAGACCTTTAATGCAAGTAGCTCACAAAGTAGGATTTTTCCTCACAAGACTCCACAGTTTAGAGGGAGCATCGGCTAGGAGCCTCCCGGGAACTCTTGGCTGGCCACTGTTTCCCTTGGACCTTTTTGCGTGTAGAAATCCATCCTTCCCCTGTACTGAGCCTGCTGACCGCCAGCCCATGTCTGAGGATGACAATGCCTGTGTGCGTCTGGGTCCCGCCTGCTCTCGGCCCCCAGCCCTGTGACCCACTCCCATGTGCCTGACTCCAGGCCTGCCCGGAGCCTACAACCTGCACTGCTGACCCTTTAGCAGCCGCCCTCGTTTCTCCCTTCCCAGGTCTTCCACTTAGGGGAGGGGATGGATTCCAAGACCTGGCTGAGCCGCAACGCGGGCGACGTGGGCAAGATGTACCTGAACCACATCCGGGAGGTGATAGCCTTTGTGGCCGGCCAGGACTGGGGGCTGCAGGTGCTGATGTGGGACGACATGCTCCGCAAGGTCAGCGTGGCGGCTATCCAAGGTGAGCCTCAGCCGCCTGCTCTTATCTCCTCCTCACTCCGTCACCTGCATAGTGAGGGGGTTGAAGCTGCTCTGATGTCACGGAAGGTCGGGGAAAACAGACAGACCTCTTCGGCTAGTTGAGCTGCTCCAGTTGTCTCTGTGGGCTCAAGAGTCTCGGGGAAAGATGGGGAGAAGAGCAAGGGGTCTTGGCGGCTTTAAGATACAAGCTTGGGAAGAGGGAGAAGAATGAGGGAGAAGGCCAAAGAGAGGCCTCTGAGGTAGAGGGAATATGAAAAAGGAGACAAGTGCATGCAGAGGTGAAGAAGGAATTCACTGCCGCAGGAAGTGGTGGCAGCTACAAGCACAGACCACTTCAAGAGGGGACTGGATGAACATCTGGAGCAGAGGTCCATCTTTGGCTCTTAGCCACCAGGTATAGATAGGAACTCTCAGTCTGGGGCAAGTGATGCTCCATATTTTTGGTTCTTGGGGGGCCACAGTGGGAGGGCTTCCAGAGTTCTGGCTCATTGGTGGACCTCCTGATGGTTTCAGCCACTGTGTGACACAGAGTGTTGGACTGGATGGGCCGTTAGCCTGATCCAACATGGCTTCTCTTATGTTCTTATGTCTGGGGCAGTGATGCTCTGTCTTGGTGCTTGGGGGAGCAAGAATGGGAAGGCTTCTGGAGTTCTGGCTGCAGTGGTGGACCTCCTGATGGCCCCTGGGTTTTGGCCACTGTGTGACACAGAGTGTTGGACTGGATGGGCCATTGGCCTGGTCCAACATGGCTTCTCCTCTGTTCTGGGGCAAGTGATGCTCTGTCTTCTTGGTGCTTGGGTGCTTGGGAGGGCAAGAGTGGGAGGGCTTCTGGAGTTCTGGCCCTACTGGTGGACCTCCTGATGGCTCCTGGGTTTTGGCCACTGTGTGACACAGAGTGTTGGACTGGATGGGCCATTGGCCTGATCCAACATGGCTTCTCTTAAGTTCTTATGTAAGGCCAACCTTCACATATTGATTTGGAATAGCCTTCTTATGTAAGGCCAACCTTCACATATTGATTTGGAATAGCCATCCTGATTTTTTGATTGTAAGGTTCTAGTCCGTAACATTGTCTTGCTTGAGGAAGCTCATTTCCTTCTTCCTTTTTGTGCGTTTTTGTGTCGCAGACTCCGGCATCACCAAGCACGCGTCTCCCATGTTGTGGTTTTACGCCCCGAACTTTGATACGCAACAAATAGGTAATAGGAGTGAGTGCGTGTTTGTGTCTGTGTATCCACAAGGTTGTTAATCCAGGGGATCTCTCTGAAGGGCTGTGGGCTTGTGCTTATTCCCAAGGCGAAGGCTCTCACTCGGCCATGTTTTCTCGCCTCTCCCCCTTCCAGGGAAATACGTTTCCAAGTACGCCGAGTGCGGCTTCAAGACCATCTGGTTCGCCAGCGCCTTCAAAGGCACCACCGGCCCCGCGCAGGCCTGGACCCCATTAAACCATCACCTGCAAAACCACTTGCAGTGGCTGAGCGTCATGCGGTCCATGGCCAAGACCCCCTCCGCAAGGCTCCAGGGCATTGTGCTGACCGGCTGGCAAAGGCAAGACCCCCGTGTCGGGCTCTGGTCAGGGGACTCGAGATCTGCCATCCACACCTGGCGGGCATCACAAGAGAAGCCCCCTCCCCAGTCTCCGAGGGAGAAAGAGAGAACTGCTTGGCAGCAAACCCCCCTCCCTTTCAGTGTTCCCCCTAATCGGAGTTAGTGTGAGCTGGCTCACAGTTTTATAGCCTCCGGCTCACACGTTTTTGACTCCGCTCAGGAAGGAGGGCTCCAGAGCAAACTAATTCATGCAGTAGCCAAACGGCTCACTCACCACTTTAATGCCAGCAGCTCACAAAGTAGAATTTTTGCTCACAAGACTCCACAGCTTAGGGAGCATTGCTCCCTTTCAGTGGTTATTTAGCACTCCAGGCATGCCCAGAGGCACTTTAGTTCCTGCATGCATTCCAAGTCTCAGCCCTGGCAGGAAAATAGGTGCTGGGGCTCTCTACTTAAGGTTTGGGAGGCTTTTGCAAGGTGCATTTATTTGTAAGTATTTAAAACATTTCTACGCTGCCTTTCCACCAGAACCGGGGTCACACATTTTTGCCTTCGCTCAGGAAGGATGGCTCCAGAGCAAACTAATTCATGCAGTAGCCAAATGGCTCACTCACCACTTTAATGCCAGCAGCTCACAAAGTAGATTTTTTTGCTCACAAGACTCCACAGCTTAGGGAGCATTGCTCCCTTTCAGTGGTTATTTAGCACTCTAGGCATGCCCAGAGGCACTTTAGTTTCTGCATTCATTCCAAGACTCGGCCCTGGCAGGAAAATAGGTGCTGGGGCTCTCTGCTTAAGGTTTGGGAGGCTTTTGCAAGGTGCATTTATTTTTAAGTATTTAAAACATTTCTATGCCGCCTTTCCACCAGAACAGGGGTCTCCGAGACAGGCTCCTGACGGGGTTGGAGAAGCTTGGCACAAAACCAATCCCCCCACCCCCCTTTCAGTGGTTATTTAGCACTCCAGGCATGCCCAGAGGCACTTTAGTTTCTGCATTCATTCCAAGACTCGGCCCTGGCAGGAAAATAGGTGCTGGGGCTCTCTGCTTAAGGTTTGGGAGGCGTTTGCAAGGTGCATTTATTTTTAAGTATTTAAAACATTTCTATGCCGCCTTTCCACCAGAACAGGGGTCTCCGAGACAGGCTCCTGACGGGGTTGGAGAAGCTTGGCACAAAACCAATCCCCCCCACCCCCCTGTCCAGCAAAGGTGGCCTGGGATGTGCTGGTTTCAAGACCAGGGCTGTGTGACGCAGGGCAGCTGGGCCCTCGGCCTCCTCCGGGGTGTAGCGTCTTCAAAGCAGGCTCTGGGGGCTTGAATGGGGCGGAATCAAAGGTGTCCGTTCAGACCACGAGCTCCAGAGGGGCTGCCGGCACTACAACAGCAAACCGAGCGAAAGGCAGGCCATGTGCGGGTGAGGTGTGATCGGGTTTTGGGGAAGAGTGCCACCCCAATCGCATCCCTGGAAGCCGCAGGTGGGAAATCCTTCAGGATACCACCCCCAAGGTGTGGCAGCTGACCTCTCTCTGCCTCTGTCTGCAGGTATGACCACTACTCGGCCTTGTGTGAACTGCTTCCCGTCGGCATTTGCATTCCGTCCCTGGCTGTGTGTCTGCAGACCTTGGTGAATGGTGAGGACACGTCGCTGGGGAGGGTTTGCGGGGGGCTGGAAGGAGGTTTCAGCCAAAGAGGCATCAGAAGAGCCCTGCTGGATCAGACCAGCGAGGGTCCATCTAGTCCAGTTCCTCTGGAGGTCCAACAACAGGGCAGAGAGCCCGAGGCCTTCCCCTGAGAAGAACCTAAGAATCCAATCTCTTCTTCTCTTCTTTAATCTTTTCATCCCCAGCTGCTTTCTCACTGGAGAAAGGTTCGCCCCATTGATTGAGGGGGTGTGTGTGAAGGGAAGCGAGGGGTGAGGATTTCCAGTGAGAAAAACAGCAGAGAAGGAAAAAGGGTTAGTTTCTCCCTTCCCCGCACCGTCGCCATCTTTGAGGAAAGAAGAGCTACCGGCTTAAAATTGCGCAGGGGAAAAAAATATATATACTGTTTTAAAGGAACACAGCAGAAGCCGTAATGAGTAGCGGAGCTTTTAGCTTCTCTGCCCCGGTGACCCCTACAGGCAAACGCCGCTGAATCTCTGCAAAGAACGACTGATGTGTTTTCCTCCCCCCACCACCCCGCCCCCTCCTTTTCTCCCACTTTGCAAGTGGATTTAATGAAGCGACCAAAAAGAAGGTCTTGGATATTCTGGGCTTCCAGAGCATGCAACTGGAGAAGAGCACATGGTAAGTGTGCACGCACACGCAGGTCCCTCCTGGCCTCTCGGGGCAGGGGCTGATGAGATCGGCCGTGCCTCAGGGGATGGAGCATCTGCTTTTGCACTGGGAAGGTCCCAGGTTCAATCCCCGGCGTCTCTAGTTAAAAGGATCAGGTAGCAGGTGACGTAAAAAGACCACCTTCTTTGCCTGAGACCCCGGAGAGCCACTGCCGGTCAGAGTGGACAAGACTGGCATGAATAACCCAAGGGTCTGACTCGATATAAGGCAGCCATAGGCAACGCTCCCTCTAAGCTGTGGAGTCCTGTGAGCAAAAATTCTACTTTGTGAGCTCCTGGCATTAAGGTTGTGAGCGAGCGATTGGGCTGCTGCATCAATGAGTCTGCTCCGGAGCCCTCCTTCCTGAGCTAAGACAAAAACGGGTGAGCCGGAGGCCAAAACACTGTGAGCTAGCACACACTGACTCAGCTTAGAGGGAACCCTGGCTGTTGGTGTCCTGTTAAGTGGAGGGAAAAGGATCAGGTAGCAGGTGACGTAAAAAGACCACCTTCTTTGCCTGAGACCCCGGAGAGCCACTGCCGGTCAGAGTGGACAAGACTGGCATGAATAACCCAAGGGTCTGACTCGATATAAGGCAGCCATAGGCAACGCTCCCTCTAAGCTGTGGAGTCCTGTGAGCAAAAATTCTACTTTGTGAGCTCCTGGCATTAAGGTTGTGAGCGAGCGATTGGGCTGCTGCATCAATGAGTCTGCTCTGGAGCCCTCCTTCCTGAGCTGAGACAAAACTGGGTGAGCCGGAGGCCAAAAAACTGTGAGCTAGCGCACACTGACTCAGCTTAGAGGGAACACTGGCTGTCGGTGTCCTGTTCATGTTAAGTAGAGGGGCCCACCCGTGTGATCAAGTGGGGAATGTGACCAAGCCGCACAGGAGTGAGAGAACACCGACCAGGGTTCTTTAGCTATCTGTAGGGCTTCAACGCCCTGACCTTATCAGTCTCATCAGGTCGCGGAAGCTAAGCAGGGCCGGCCCTGGTTAGTCCTTGGATGGGAGACCACCGAGGAAGTCCAAGGTTGCTACGCAGAGGCAAGCAATGGCAAACCACCTCTGCTTAGAATCATAGAATGTCAGAGTCGGACCTTGCAGGTCATCTAGCCCCACCCCCGGCACTCTGCAGGAGCGTGATGTCAGGGGGTGTGGCATATGCAAATAAGTTATGCTAATGTTATGCTAATGAGCTATGCTAATGAGCTCCTGCACCTCTTTTTCTACGAAATGACCCTTGGAGAGCCCTACAACATACCCGAAAGATGGCCGTCCAGCCTCCGCTTGAAAACACCCAGCGAAGGAGCCTCCGCCACCTCCCGAGGCCGTCTGCTCCACTGCTCAACCACTCTGACAGTCAGGAAGCTTCTCCTGATAGTTAGCCGGTATCGACTCCCTTGTCATTCCCACCCATTCGATCTAGTCCTGCAATCCGGAGCAAGGGAGAAGAGATCCTGACCTGGATGGCCCAGGCTGGCCTGGTCTCGTCAGATCTCGGAAGCTAAGCAGGGTCGGCCCTGGTTAGTACTTGGATGGGAGACCACTGAGGACGTCCAGGGTTGCTACGCAGAGGCAGGCCATGGCCAACCACCTCTGTTCGTCTCTTTCCGTGAGCTGGAAGCTCAACGGGTTGGTACATGGATGGGAGACCTCCAGAGAAGCCCAGGGTTGCTACACAGAGGCAGTCAGTGGCAAACCACTGCTGTTCATCTCTTGCCTTGAAAATCCTACAGGGTTATCATAAGTTACCTGTGAGCCAGTCTTCTCTCTAAGCTCCATCAGTGGCTATTAGCTACAAGGTATAGATAGGGGCTCTGGGGCAAGGGATGCTCTGTCTTCTTGGTGCTGGGGGGGTGTGTCAACAGTGGGAGGGCTTCTAATGTCCTGGCCCCACTGGTGGACCTCCTGATGGCACCTGGTATTTCTGGCCACTGTGTGACACAGAGTGTTGGACTGGATGGGCCATTGGCCTGATCCATCACTGGCTTCTCTGATGTTCTTATGTCTGGGGCAAGGGATGCTCTGTCTTCTTGGTGCTAGGGGGGGCAACAGTGGGAGGGCTTCTAGCGTCCTGGCCCCACTGCTGGACCTCCTGATGGCACCTGGTATTTCTGGCCACTGTGTGACACAGAGTGCTGGACTGGATGGGCCACTGGCTTGATCCAACATTGGCGTCTCTTATGTTCTTAAGCTGACTTAGTGTGAGCCAGCTCACAGTTTCTTAGCCTCCGGCTCACACGTTTTTGTCCTAGCTCAGGAAGGGATGGCTCCAGAGCAAGCTAGTTTATGCAGGAGCCCAATCGCCCGCTCCCAATGTTAATGCCAGGAGCTCACAAAGCAGAATGTTTGCTCACAAGACTCCGCGGCTTAGAGGGAGGCATTGTCTGTGACTTGACGTCTCTTCCCACTTCCAGGGGCCTCAGTCCGCAGTTTACCAAGCATCTTATTTGGGTACCAGCTTTGGCTTGGGGTAGACTTTCCTCTCCACCGGAAGCGCCTCGGTTTTCGCTACTTGTAGAAGACACCCAGACTTGGTTTCACCAGAGATGCTCATGTTCAGGGGTCATTTCGTAGAAAAAGAGGTGCAGGAGCTCATTAGCATAGCTCATTAGCATAACATTAGCATAACTTATTTGCATATGCCACACCCCCTGACATCACAGGAAGTGTGTCAGAAGGCAATACCCACCGCTCAGGCTCCACTGGACTGTTTTGGATTGCTAGCTATTGGGGGGGGGGGGGGGCCCGCACAGCTTGCCCTCACAGGG